CCCATGCACCGGGGCTGGGGCTGCAGGGCAGTGGGGCTGCGCTGTGAGGACGGGGCGAGTGTGAGCTTGGAAAATTTCCAAGAAATCTGAGGGCAGGTAGGGGCGACGAAGGAGCCACCCCAGGGTGCAGTTCCCAATTTGGACAGCTCCACGAGACCCCACCCCACCGCACCCCCACTCCGGGCTGCCTCCCAGCCTCCTGCGGTTGTCATGGCAACTCATGCCCGGCTCTCCCAGGGGCGGTGCCAACCTTGCTCCCCCCACCATCACTTCCTCCCCCCTCCCTCCACGTCCCTCCCTCCTTTGTGTCAGCTGCGCCCCTGACCGGGATGGCTGCGAAGAGGGGGACCAAGGTGAGGTGAGGGGGTGGGGCATAGCGAGGACCCCCGCCACGAAGAAAGGGAGGGGTACTTCCGGTGGGGAGGGGGCGAGGAGGGAGGCTGTTTCTCCCTCGCTCGGGGAGGGGTTTGCGGGTAGCCCAGTAGCGTTGGGGGAAGGAGCGGGAGGTCCGGATGGTGGGGGGCAAAGGAGAATGGTTAGTATCGGGGGGCCGGAGGAGATGCCTGGGGAAGTGAGGATGGCGGATGGAGGCTGGGGAGGCCGCAGGCCAGAGCCGCAGCAGGAATACGGCCGTGGTGAGCAGGAGGATGGAGAGAGCGCTGCGCCTGCCTATAGGGAGGAGTCACGCGTGGGAGGGGGCGTGGGGTGGGCCAGAGAAGGGGGCAGGGGTCCCCTAGGTGTGGTGTCCTTGAGAGACGTGCCGGGGGCGGGAGCAGAGGAGCAGAGATGGGGGCGGGGAGCAGGGGGCAATGGCCAGGTGACGGGGCTGCAGATCTGGCTGGGCAGGGGGAGTGGAGGGGGCGGAGCTTGGCGCTGGCGGAGGTACGATCTCCGAGCATCCCTCCTCCTGCGTAGGCCTTTAGCTCTGCCTCCGAGAAATAGAGGCAAGAGACAGGGCTGGGAAGGGCTGTGGACCAGGCCTGGGCTGGTACTGGGGGAAAGCCAGACGTAGCTTGTCTTGCCCCCTGCCTGAGACCCCTTGGGGCCTGTCAAGATATTCCGCGTCCAAGCTCTGACCTAAACTCCTGGTCCCTCCACAGACGAGCATGAAGAACATGGAGAAGGAACTGCTGTGTCCCGTGTGCCAAGAGATGTACAAGCAGCCGCTGGTGCTGCCCTGTACCCACAACGTGTGCCAGGCCTGTGCCCGCGAGGTGCTGGGCCAGCAGGGCTATGTAGGCCACGGTGGGGACCCCAGCTCCGAGCCCACTTCTCCTGCCTCCACCCCTTCCACCCGCAGCCCCCGCCTGTCCCGCAGAACTCTCCCTAAGCCAGAACGCTTGGACCGGCTGCTGAAGTCAGGTGGGCTGGAGCCTGTGGGGTGGGGGTGAGGATGCTGGGATGTCCATCAGGAAGATGGGAGGGGTCATCCTTGGTCAGGGGCATCTGTCTGTCTTTCAGGGGGTGGAGCTTTTTCTCAGTCAGGCTCAGCTGAGCTATGACACAATAAAAAATTAATTTTTTAGTGGAACAGACTTCCCCCACCTCCAGCCAGCTGTAATTTTGACCTCCTACTTCCCCGGCCCATCCATAGGCTTTGGGACGTACCCCGGGCGGAAGCGAGGTGCTTTGCACCCCCAGGTGATCATGTTCCCGTGCCCAGCCTGCCAGGGCGATGTGGAGCTGGGGGAGCGGGGCCTGGCAGGCCTGTTCCGGAACCTGACCCTGGAGCGTGTGGTGGAGCGGTACCGGCAGAGTGTGAGTGTGGGTGGCTCCATCCTGTGCCAGCTGTGCAAGCCCCCACCACTGGAGGCCACCAAGGGCTGCACCGAGTGCCGTGCCACCTTCTGCAACGAGTGCTTCAAGCTCTTCCACCCCTGGGGCACCCAGAAGGCCCAGCATGAGCCCACCCTGCCCACCCTCTCCTTCCGCCCCAAGGTGAGCGGCCCTTGCAGAGCCTGGGAAGGGAGGGGCCTGGTAGAAGTGGACGGGTGGGGTGCCTGGCCTTGTGAGCCTCCAAAAGGAGGTGGGCAGGGGTTTGCCGTAGCCAAGCTCCTTTTTCTGTAACAACAACAAGAAAGGCGCTGGAGGGTTGTGGGGGGGGTGGGGTTAAGAGATCAACCGAAGGACTTGTACGCATGCATATAAGCATAACCAATGGACAAAGACACTGGGGGGTAGGGGAGGCCAGGGGAATGTCGGGGGGGGGAGGAGACATATGTAATACTCTTTGTAATACTTTAAGCAATAAAATAAAATTTAAAAAAAAAATAAAAACAAGTGGAAAGCAGAAAAAAAGAAGGCGCTGGACAGATCCTCGAACACGTTGGAGCCTTCATCCTATCTGCTGAAGGGGGCTGATATATGTCCTGCAATATCCACACTCTCAGGGCTGTTCAGAGGATCACATGAGATAATGTTTGTGAAAGTTATCTGTACATTGAAGGTCTGTATGCATTTATTCACTGAACAAATATGTATCAGGCATCTATGTGCCTAGCCCTGTTCCAGGCATTGGGACATGGCAGAGAACAAGGTGGACACGGTTAATTAGTGACCACAAGGCTAAGATTACTTGTCATCTTTAAGTTGTTATTCCCACGCCTCTCCTGAGGTAGAGGAAGGGAGGAGGATGCTGGTGCCTGGAGGCTGCAGGAAAGGCTCTTTTTGATGCTCGTATGTACCACCAGGTGGCACTGTGGACACCCCCATCTGGCCAATGGAGGGAGGGCACCAAACTGCTCCCGTGGTAGGTCACACCCTTTCGCAGACCATTGGCTGACTGTGCCATTGCCCTTTCTGTCCCTAGGGCCTCATGTGCCCAGACCACAAGGAAGAGGTGACCCACTACTGCAAGACATGCCAACGTCTGGTATGCCAACTCTGCCGAGTGAGGCGCACCCACAGCGGGCACAAGATCACACCGGTGCTCAGCGCCTACCAGGCCCTCAAGGTGAGCTAACCCCCACTCCGGGCTGCCTCCCAGCCTCACATCCTCTCACACCTCCTCTTCCTGCTAGCTTCTGCCGAGCTGGTATGATCCCCACCTCTTTCTTCCCTCTTAGGACAAACTGACAAAGAGCCTGACATACATCCTAGGAAACCAGGACACAGTACAGACCCAGATCTGTGAGCTGGAGGAGACCTTGAGGCACACTGAGGTGAGGGAGGGCATAGAGGTGGCCCTTGGCCCTACCTGGGCCTGGACACAGCAAGAGGGTATGGAGAGGCGTGGCCCAGTCACCTGGATGCAAGCTCAGGAAGTGGGGGTCCATGAATGTCCAGGTTCTGACTAAACCAGGCTAGCAGGAACCTCAGTGCCCTAGGGCAGGCTATACCTGGAACTACAGTGGGGACAGGACAGGGAGAAAGTAGTTCAGATGCCCTCAGGCTCGGAAACCTGCTGAGGATGGCACATATCCTGGAGCCAGGGTAAGGCGATGGCTCTGATACCAGATTGCATACGTCAGCTGGCGCGGGCATGGGCAATAAGGGTGGCACAGACGCCACTGATGTTGGTACAGTCCCAGTGGTGATCTCTTTTGTTTGGGGGAGTCCTTAGGGATCGTGGTGTGGGCACCAGAAAGGTTAGCACAAATGGCCAGGAGCTGAGGCCATGTGGGTATGCGGTGCCTTTGGACCCATAAGCCTGGCCCTGTTGAAATGGGTGGGTGGCATTTCCCCAGGTTCTTTGTGATCTTAGCCATGGTGTGGGGCCCCAGGAGGCTGGCACAGGCACTACCTTCGAGAAGATAGTGAGTGTTGCTCTCTGGGCAGGTGAGTGGTCAGCAGGCCAAGGAGGAGGTGTCGCAGCTGGTGCGGGGGCTGGGTGCGGTGCTGGAGGAGAAGAGGGCGTCGCTGCTTCAGGCCGTAGAGGAGTGCCAGCAGGAGCGGCTGGCCCGCCTCGGCGCCCAGCTCCAGGAGCACCGGAGCCTCCTAGACGGCTCAGGCCTGGTGGGCTACGCCCAGGAGGTCCTTAAGGAAACAGACCAGCCTTGCTTTGTGCAAGCAGCCAAGCAGTTACATAACAGGTACTTCAGGGCACAGCTCAGGGACACGGGCTCCGGGGGGGAGGGGTGGCAGGGGCATCACGGGTGTAGTCAGTGTCCAAGACAATGTCTCAAGTACCGGCCGATGGAGAGCTGGGCCCTGAGGATTTTCCCACTAGGCCAAACCAATCCCCAGCTGGCGTGAGGGGACGAGGAAGAGACCCAAAGCTGATGCCAGGGCTCAGGGGCAGGCAGGCAGAATCCAGGAGGAGGGTGGCGGCCCAGATGGCAGTGCCTGACCCTTGGGTGCCCCCATCCCAGGATCGCTCGAGCGACAGAGGCCCTCCAGATGTTCCGGCCAGCTGCCAACTCCTCCTTCCGCCATTGCCAGCTGGACGTGGGGCGAGAGATGAAGCTGCTGACAGAGCTGAACTTCCTTCGAGGTAAGGAGACGGCCAGGCCCCAGGTCCTATTAGAGCCTCCCTCCCTCCTCCCCCAGCAGCGGGCCCGGGGGGCAGTGCCCACCGGGGACCTCCCAGCCTAC